CGGAGGTGGTATTTGCCAGTTCTCCAAACTACTAAAAATTTCCGCTACTGGTTCTCCAGAATTGGTCAGAACCTGCTGAATATCACCTCTGAAATGCTCTCTACCTAATATATCTTGCTCGATATTCTGCAAAACATTTAATGTAGTACCTTTTGACTTTCCAATTTTTAGTCATTCAAGGATGATATCTCTGCTAAATCAATCCACAGGCTTAAACGAAGAAAAGTATTAATCAGTGGCTCTTCCTCAGAATTGGTGAAATATCAAGTGTGTATCACAAGTTCACACCTAAACTTGGTACATATTAACATTTTCATGTATGACAAAGATGAAAAGGAATGATTAAAAAAAAAGATCTCAGAATAACTGAATGTAGATCAGCAGTGCGATGTGGTTAATTTTAGGCCGTACGCAAGAATAGCTCCAAAATTGTGGAAGATGATCATTCCATTATATTTGTGTTGGGCATGATGATGCCACCTTAAATGCTGTGTCAGTTCAGGGCACCATATTTTAAGTCAAACACCAAGAAACTAAGAATGGAAAGAAGGGCAATGAGGATGACCAGAGAACAGTAAATCAAGTATACAAGGGTAGAGTAAGGGAACTGAATATCTTCAGCTTTGAGAAAGAATGATTGAAAAGGGATATAACAGCACTTTTTAAATACTTGGTGTGTCATCCAGAAGAATATCAAAGCCTGATCCCTTTTACCACAGAGTTCAAGGCAAGGCATAACGGTCTTATGTTACCTGAAAGCAGAATCTTGTTGATGTTAGGAAAAACTTATTTAATGGTGCAAATAGTCCAATAGCAGAACCAATCTCCAAAAGAGATGGTGAGATGACTTCTTCAAATAACTGATAGGCAGACTATACATCATCTGCTGGGAATGCTTTGTTTTGGATTCCTGTACCAAGCAGGAAGTTGGAATTGATGGCTTTGAGTAGTCTCTTCCAACTCTAAGATTTCATGAGAAAGTTTAAGACAAAGGAAAAGTCAAATCTTCCCTTTCAAAAACTTAGCACACTGTAGGATTGTACTCCAGTCCTAGTTTAGATTATGTTTTTAATACTGCAATCATTTATATCTAATAGAAATTGCACTGAGATACAAAATTATGACTCGTGTGGTAAAGTGTAATATTAATTGCATTTAAAATTAATTCTTAATATTAAAAACAAGATTTTTACTTGGATGAATAAGTTCACACCTATACTCAAGTTAGAAAGATTATATAGACTAATTTTGTTAAGAAGGAGGCTTTTTATGGTTGTGTTGTTAAATTTCTTGAAGTTGGAAACTCCAAGATACAGCACAAATGAGTTCCTACTACTGTATATTAAAATCATTTTAATGATCGAAGGAACCTCAAGGGCAGCAGTATTCACCCGGGCTGTCAAAAAAAAAACCAAGATAGCCGTTGTAGTAATACAATTAAAGCCCCACACTTTTTGGATAGTATGAAGCCACAAAAGTGTGGGGTTTCAATGGCACAGTCTCCATTATCCAAGGTTGATCTTCATTGCAATTCTTTTCCGACCTATCTTAGATAAACCGTATTGTGTTGATTTAGCCATCAGACAATGTGTCTCCGCAGAAGATTCTGGAGCATTTTATAGGAGAAAATGGCCATTTGATTTACCATATTACTTCAAGTCTCTTGGATATTACAGGAGAAGATGGAAGCAATTTATCTCTTTATGGGAATCATGTCTGCCAAATGCTTCCTTGAAGACTATTTCCTAACTTTCTGAGGAATCTTAGAATTGTTTCTTGCATATCTTAAAATTGCTGCATGGAACATACTTTTCCACCTCCAAAAAACATTGCACATGCCATGAAATTAATATTTAAATCTCCCTAGAAACACTCTCAAATTGACCTAAATACTCTTTTTCTTTAAAAAAAAATGCTGAATGCCAGGATGACTGGAGAATCCTAAACAACAACAACAACAAAAAGAAATTTGATCATATTTGCTTTGGATCTATCTATCTATCTATCTATCTATCTATCTATCTATCTATCTATCT